TGACATGACCACGTGATGTCATGTAATGTCACGTGATTTCACGTAAAATTAAGTTTAGTTCTTTTTGATGATTCGTCTTTCAGACGTTTTCAGGGCAGAAACCAGGAAACCCTTCGTCTGTTTGACCAAGATTTGGAAAATTGTTAAAGGTAATTTTAATTTGAAGTTTTCAAGGAACATGAATTTGTCACAGTGATCCTGAAATAATTAATCTGAGAAAATTAAACATTAAATACAAGAGGTTAAGAAAGAACCTTAAATCAATAGAGAAAAGACAAAGAGAAGGGAAGAGGAGGACGAATAGAGGAAGGAAGAGGATGATTTGAGGGAGTCAGAGAAGGAGTAGGAGGAAGAGGAGGAAGAAGATGAATAGAAGGAGGAAGAAGAGAAACAAGAGAAAGACTAAGAAGAGGAGGACGAGGAAGACTAAACTACATTTATTCTCTCTCATTCTCACAATCTGACAACCCTACCCCATCAACAGACTCTGTACCTGTCCGTCACAACATTCGCTCCCTCTCTCCCTCCTCTCTGGCCTCATCCGTTTTATCAGCCCTCCCCTCATCTGACTCTTTCTCACTCATGCATCCTAACTCTGGCACAGACCCTCTCCTCTCTACTCTGTCCTCCTCTCTCAATTCTCTCTGTCTTACTTCCCGACAGGTGCGCAGGTCCTCCCCAGCTCCGTGGTTGTCTGACTCAGTGCGTGCCGACAGAGCCACTATGTAAGCATCAGAAAGGAAATGACGAAAATCTAAACAGCCTAAAGACCTGCTCATATAGGAATCACTCCTCTCTTCCTTCTCTGCCACTATTTCTGTAGCCAAAAGCTATTTTTACCAAACTAAAATTCAATTTTCATTCTCCATCCCCAAAAAACTGTACTCCATCTTTTCCAACCTCCTTGACCATTCCAGACTGCTGGAAACCTGGGTGTGACACTCGACAGTCAACTCTCCTTACTGCCAACATTACTGCAACAACCCGCTGCACAACATCAGGAGAATACATTTCCTTCTCAGGTTCTGGTCCAGGCTCTGGTCATCTCACGTCTAGACTACTGCACCTCCCTACTGCACCTCCCT